ACAGATCAGAATACTAACCTCGATCAGCAATCGTTAGTAGGAACATCGTCATTACAACTTGCAAACGCCATCAAACGTCAGTTACCTGTTCTTACGGGAACAGTGATACCACTACCGATTGAAAGAAGAAAGCACGATTCGTCATCAATATCGAGGGAGTGATATGAGAAGAAAAGATATCATTTCATATAGATACGAAACGAAACGAATATACCGGAAGGAACGAATAAACTGTCTATGAATAAACAATATAGAATACGAGGGTCGTTTGAAAAGTCCGTGCAAAGTCAGAGATATAGCGCTACTAGTGCGTATCAAGGTTATTTTTAGTTAGTGGCATATCTTGGAAGAGCACACACCAAGTTTCAGCCAGATCGGTCAGTTACTTTGCGTTTTACATTCGTTTCAATCAAAGAAATCGAGTGGTTGTAAAAAAACGGACGAAAAAGAATTTCGTGTATTGATTAAACATTACTCTTTCAAAGGCAAAACGCCTCAGGAGATTAAACAGAAGCTTGATAAACTTTATGGTGATTGTGCACCTTCGATTAGAACGGTTTATAAGTGGTTTCAAAATTTTTGGAGTGGCCATATGAGCACAAAAGACGCTGAACGTTCTGGACGCCCTGTTGAGGTTACCACTTCAGAAATCATTGATAAAATCCATGATATGGTGATGGCTGACAGAAGAGTGAAGGTGCGTGAGATTGCTAGTACTGTAGGCAACTCGAGCGAACAGGTACATAATATTTTGCACCAACATTTGGACATGAAAAAGCTATCTGCTAGATGGGTGCCGCGGTTGCTCACGATTGACCAAAAACGAGATTGTGTGAAGTGTTGGAAGAATGGTTTGCAACTGTTCCAGCAAAATCCGCAAGACTTTAAGCGTCGTTTCATCGCTGTAGATGAAACGTGGATACATCACTACACTCGTGAGACCAAAGAACAGTCTAAACAATGGGTTACCAAGGGGGAATCTGCTCCGAAAAAGGTGAAGACAATTCCTTCGGCCGGGAAGGTTATGGCGACTGTCTTTTGGGATTCGCAAGGAATAATCTTCATCGACTATCTGGAAAAGAGTAAAACCATTACAAGCGAATATTATTCATCGTTATTGGATCGTTTGAAAACCGAGTTGCTAGAGAAACGTCCACGATTGGCCCACAAAAAAGTCCTCTTCCACCACGACAATGCGCCAGCTCACGCCTCAGCAGTTATGGCCGCAAAACTGATGGAGATAGGGTTCCAACTCGTTTCACATCCCCCCTATTCTCCAGACTTAGCTCCGTCGGACTACTATTTGTTCCCTAATATGAAAAAATGGCTGGCGGGGAAAATATTTTATTCAAGCGAGGAGGTGGTTGCAGAAACGAATGCCTATTTTACAGATTTGGACAAATCCTATTATTTGGAAGGGATTAACAAACTAGAGCAGCGTTGGATGAAGTGTATAAGCCTAAAAGGATACTATGTTGAAAAATAAAAAAGATTTATTAAAAAAAATCAAGCAGTTTTTATTTTTGCACGGACTTTTCAAACGACTCTCGTATATGTATCACCCGAGAATAACGAAGTTATAAAATTTATACTCGAAGAAATAAAAGAAGCAAGACTTATAAGATTGCCAACGGGTCATGGTAGGAGCGTCAATCTATCGAAGCAACAAACTACGTAAGACGCAGTAAATGACATTCACACGAAACTACGCTTCTCTGACGCCATTAAAAGAATTATACATTACGTAGAAGACTCAGAAAAATAATAAAACGAACGAAGAAGTCTAATACTTCAAGAACGAATTTCTAGCGGTCCGTAATGTACAGAAAAGTTTTTACATACATAAAATTTTACGTACGATAAAAATTTGTTGGCTCACGCTGTTTCCTGAGGAAGAAAACATTTATAAAAATGATTATGATACTATCATCCCCTTTACCAGCAATCTGTCATACATAATTATATAGCGTATAAGTAAAAATTCATATCGTCGAAGCATACGGCAAAAGAATAGAATTGAAGGAATTTTGAAATAATTAAGTGAAAGTTATAAATCATTAATAATGAAATGCCTGGACGAAACCAGCTTCCAATAACAGAGTTTCTACAGCCGACATCGCAGCAAACTATCAGTAAAAATACAAGAGGGTTGTCACGAGCACGCAATTGAACAACTAAAGTCTATATTAGCGCTTTCAGAATTTTTGCTATAATCGCTGATGTGGAGACACTTTCACCCAAGAAGAAAAGAAATCATATTATCGACACTCCAAACGTTTCATCGCCGCATAGCCATAGTAGTGATATTATGGATTTAGAAGTAACCAACGAATATGTTGATGATCAGTTACGCGAGTTATCAAAATAACATGATTACGTTAACTAATGAACTTACAAAATTATCCGGCACCATTCTTTAGCCACCCAGCGATCCTTTATAAATACCATATGCGCTTATCAGTTCTGAGATTCATTGTTTCGTGCCATATACGGAACATAATTAATGTGCTCAACGCCGACTAATATTTCAAAGAAATGACACCATCCCTCATAACGCTAATTACCTATTCAACTTCCTTATAATAATCATAAAACTCAAGATGACGCCAACTAGTTGTGGACAGCGTAACTAGCAAATTTGGCAATAAAGAACTGTCGCGACTGTCGAATACTAACCTCCGATACTGAATATGGTGAAATTGGTTGCTTACTCATTTTTTCACAAATACTATGTAAAGCATATATTCACTTCAACTCCGAATCCCGAACGGAATACTACTACTATCGTGAAAATTAGAGCAATCACTATATTCACGTATATCTCAAATATGTACACTATACACTTCATCTGCCAATTATTACCCGAATCCCACAAACCTAGACAATTTTAGAATCAGATCTGAGGAAACAAAAATTCCGACAGACTATTCGGAAGCGAACAAAGAGCAAAGAAGCAATACCGAAAAGAAGACTTTAAGACACAAAACCTAAAATCAGCAATAAAATAATAGTGTTTTATTGCTGATTTTAGGTATATCAATACGAACGCGTTTGCTCTACAAAGCAATGGCAAGCAATCTTGTAAACAACGTGGATCTGCCTGATGATAAACCGCCTTAGGTGATTTAAAACAAAAGTGAAATAATGCTGTTTGTGACAATTAGAAGCTTACGCGTATCACCCTTCTGCTCATCCTTCCGGAAAGCCATAATATTAAATATTCGGGTTCGTCGTGAGGAACCATCTTGATGATATTCGAGATTATTTGCGACCTAGCTATGCTTTCGTTGCACCGGATTAGAAATGTTTGATCGAACAATTCAATAGGATTTTCGCTGAAAAGGAGATAATTGTAGCGTATTTTAAAAATAATTTACCGGTTCCGTCTGTTGAAGATCGTTATCGTCTAATTGAGGAATAATAGTAGTTTATAGTAGGAGACCATAAGAGTTCTATTAAAACGTATTTATAAATAGCAACAGAATTTTACTAACGAAATAAGCAAGCCAACGTGCGCCAATTTGTGTGTGCATGTAAAATATGTCAGACCATTAAATTAACGTATCGAAAAACAAAATATATTCTAGTTTTACAAGATGTTTTGACGAAATAATGCATATTAATCTCTGTATAAGAAGCAACCGCGTAGGAAGTATCCCGCACAATAATTGAAAAATTACTTTACTACTCTGAAAGTCAATGTCCAGTAATTTCCTTTTTAGGTCGATTTTACTGCAATATTTCGGATAAATAAATACTGTAGTATCATTATGTACCTACAAAATCAAGATGGAGTAGAACGCTTAAATGCTACAATAAAGGAATATATAATAAAGATATACGTGCAAAACAATCCACAATGGGATGAATTGGTGCACTTGGCACAACAAGCCTATAACGTGGCAGAACATGAATTTGCGGGATTTTCACTATACGAAATACTAGTTGGTCAGCGTAAACACACATAATTAAGCTTCTTTCTCAAGAAGGACCTGCTAACGTATGATAAGTATCTAGTCGACGCTGCCACCACACTAGACAACTCCAAACAATTACGGCTCTCAAACTCATACAGTGGAAATTCCATTTTAAACGATATTATGACAGACGATTGAACACATAGTACTTCTGCATAGAAGAACAAGTTTACTTCTTTAAACATCCCAAAAGAAAGAAATTCGATTCAAAGAACGTACGTCCCTGCAAAATTTTCGGAGTCGATCATCAATGATAACGTCTAAATACAAAAAGAAACCAAAGCAAAACTAGTCCGTATGGATCGAATGAAGACAATAATAATTGATGAGATATTAATAAGACCTATAGAAATTGAAGACGTATCTGAAACGCTTGTTAAGGAAAGTAGCTCGGATAACAGTGCGGATGTTGTATAATAGCAGTGAAGTTATACTTCATCATCTTGACTACAAACATAGCCAATATATTAGAACTAGCACTCGCCAACAGTATTCCAATTTAATTGACCGTTATACGATCAGGGATGTTATAGTCGATTGACTCCTTGGATACCATCAAGAGAGTCAAGGACACGTGAAACTATCAAGAAACCATATATTCGAAAGCAGAAATCAATTATAACAGTTATTATATCTTCAAGTTCATTTTTATTATATAACCTTATATTATAAAAATGTGTAGAACATCCATTCGAATGATAGATAAGAGATGTTATGTAAGAGAGAGATCGAAACAAAAGAATTGTTAACGGTAATGATAAATGACATCTTGATAACTTTTCATGTCTTTTCTAAATTAAATATACAAGTATATATACACTCAATACCATACACTCATTATACAAATGAAAGAAAAAAAACAAAATGCTCAAAAGTAAAACAATCTTTTACGGCTACGTTATTGACCATTTTCGAAGATTCATATCGCTTACATATCTTGTAGAACGTTCTTATTAAAAGTTTTAGTCGATAATGAATATATAAAGACCGTTTATTGAAATAAGAAAAATAAAAATGACATACCCATTTTCAAAATTCTGTAAACTAACATACTGTAACGACAATAGTCGTGCCAAGAGCTGTGAGGTTTTATTTCGGTGATAATCTGGTTTTTCTAAAATGGCATTTGTAATTTCTCTTACAAATGTGGCATGCGATAAAATCGGAAATTTTTTCCTAAATTCTTGGATTGCAGCCTGCAACAGATAAGTAAAATTTTAATAATAATAATTTTAAAACGATAAACCAATAGTTTATTTTCATACCTCAACATCTTCTTCTCCTGCAATATATTCCTCAATGAAACTACTAATTGCTACATTCATCTCTTGATCTGATAATTTCGATGTATTTTCTATAGTGGATTGAGAATTTGATTGAGAAGACGTCATAATTGAAATACTTTGACTCCTAGAGTTCTCAATCGAAGGCTTTTCTCTACTATGGGTGACGGTATTATTTATAGTAACATAGCTGCCATTTCGAGAATTCCTTCCTTCTGGAGATCAAATCAAATTAGGATAATAAAATATAATTTTTAACGATACAAGTTATTAAAAATCAAGTAAAAACTTTGTATTTAACGAAAAATATAAAAATAAGTACAAAATATTTACCATAAGTAGTCTTGTAGTCAACACGACCATAATCTCGAGGACCAGTTGATCTGGAGCTAAAATGAAAACATATAATAATTTTTCTTGAAACAATAGTTAATCTGTACATTAAATAATAAAACTTAAGAAGAGTGGATTTACCCAGATAGATGAATTGTAGCTGCTCTTTTATCAGACTCAGAAGAACTGTTTGCAAGATAAGAAAACTTGTTAGGAGTTGTTATTTTAGGACTAGCCCTTGGCCAAACATAATTTGATCTACTGCCTAACTGCATATCATCCATTGAAGGCTAAAAGAGAAATGAAGAACTAGTATAAAAAGTTCAAAACACACAATTAGTAAGGACGAAAAAAATTACTGGTTTATTTTTCAGTTTAGACGTTTCTACTGAATATACTTGACGTGTCCTTCCTACAGCCTGACTCCAACCGCCTTCTTCCAAAGAGACAGCACCGCCACCTATAAAAATATTAAATGTCAAGATTAATTTTTACAAAATAGTTTCCTGTTTATATGAAAAATGTCAATAGCATATCATTCCGAAAAAATATTTTATAGAAATGTTATGACTACTATTTTTCCAATTATGAGGGATTTTGCTTTTAACTACTTTGGAATTTTACTATATGATTTTAAAGGAGAACGGTCGAAATGATGGACTATTTTTAGTAGGAAAAATTCAGATAAAAGTTTTTTAGCCTGTACCAACAATAATAAGTTGATTTGACCTCGAAGCGACCTGTATCATATCGAGCATAAGATTATTTGAAGATTAAATGAAAAAAGTTGATAAAGAAAACCGCAAAAATAGATAAAAAGGTTTTTAGGATCGCTGAATCTGAATTGAACATCCGTTATCCTGTATCACATCAGATTCAAGGTCACTTGAAGATAAAATGGTAATAATTTGATAAAGAGATCTACATAAATCAATATTATGGTTTTTAGGACCGCTCACTCCCAATCAGAAAATCTTCATTCCCTTTAAGATAATCCAGTGTCAACAATTGTCAACATCATCAGCTAAAAATTATATTTGACCTTCAAAAGTCTTTGAATATAATGTGATATAGGCTAACCGATCTAGGATTCGGGTTCAACAACCATAAAAAACTTTATATTTATTTTTCTGGATTTCATTACCTATTCTTTGCCATTTAAACTAGAAATGATCTTAAACCTGATATGTTATAGGTTAATGGACTTTGGAATTTGATTCAACGACTTCAAAAATCTATGTATCTATTTTTCTAGGTTTCTTTGTTATCTTTTTTCATTTGACTTCCAAATGATCTTGAACCCTATGTGACACTTGTTAACAAACCCCGGATCTGGAAACAACGATCTCAAAAACCTTAGGACGCTCTGGTGTAGTATAGCTATATTAGATTTTTTGTACTGATATACTCTGAATACGAAAGAACAATCAATCCGCTCCATTACCCAAAGTTAAAGGAGGTAAAAAGATAAAAAAATGATAAATAAACGTAGATGTAAATAATAAGGAGTTGACAAAGTGTTTTACGAAGTATCCTATCAAGCAAATACAAGTTTGAATGTGCCGAATCTCTTCAAAAAAGCTGTTAGCAAGTGATCACATTTTCAGAAGTGTAAGAGTTGCAGGTGTAATGAGTAATATATTTACAATTTAAATATTTATACATGAGATTTTGTTCGGAAATAACGAGATTTGAGATGCGGTAAAGGTGAGCCGCAGAGCGGAACAACAGAGACGATGACAAGAAAGAGATAACGAGTCTTGGTCTTAGAGCAGTGAGGAAAGAGAGAGAGAAAGAGAGAAAGAGAGAGAGAGATAGATAGATAGATAGATAAGCTTTATTAAGCCGTGGGGTATAACCCCGTAGGCTATGAGCAGAATACAAAGCAGATACATTAAGTTAGAGCGCAGTAATAAGCGATAAAGTTATACAAATAAATATTAATTTAAAATGAACATAGGTTAAGCATTATAATTAAAGAGTATGAGTGTGAGATTATGACGCATACATAGCAATAAAATGATACAATATTCGCATGAGATGGAAAGAATAGAGATAAATTGATTGAGAATAGGTTAGGTGACAAGATAGATGAGATCACAGAGCGAGGCGTACAAGATGGAATGGGATGAGCTGAACTGACTAGTTGTGAACAGGCAAACATAACACAGTACGTTATGCTGAAGAGGCCAGAATAAGCACTAAATAAAATCACCGGCCAAAGAGGGTAATGGAGCCAGCGAACAAGTTAACAAGCATGGCGGTCAAGCAAATTCAAAACTAAGGATTAACTCGTAAAGCCTGGAGAGATGAAGAAGTAACAGTGAAGGTAGATTGTAGATCGGGGTGGAAGTGCGGGTGTGTGTTACAACGAGGAATTGAATGGGAGAAAATTGCAGACCAGGTAGCGACCAGGTGATAGGGGGTACTCTGATGAGGAAGTGAAGGCGGAGACGTTGAAGGGAAGAGGGATAGAAGGAAGTTTCAGGAGCAAGGGAAGATTTGGGAGGTGTTCGGCGTCCACCCTATGGCGAAAAAGGAGCTGTTCGATCACCATAAAGTAGCCATAGAGCCAGCGCCTGAGCTCTACATAGCGAGAAATGTCAAACTCAGTGATGGCCAGCTGGTTGAGGAGATACATGCCATAGGCCGCCGCCGAGAACCTCCAAGCCTCAGTTCTTGGAGCGGGATAGGAGAAGGCCATCGGGGGATTGCGGGAGGAATGCTTAAGATTAGGAGGATTTGGGGTTTTGATATATGTCGTAAGGTAGCACGGGTATTGACAGCATACGGTTTTGTATGTACGAAGGATGAGAGAGATGTTGCGCTGACTCTCAAGAGATAGCCAGCCTAGACGTAATCTATGGAAGGAGACATGGGAGTCAATGCTGGGTGTGGGGATAAAAGGTATAAAGCCTGTGATGAATCGAACACAAGCATTGAAAGCTGTTTGAAGGGCCAGGGTTCTGGACTTATCAATTTGCATGAAGGCTATGGAGGCATAAGAAAAGTGGGGAAAGATCAATGTTTGTACCAGGTATTTCCTTGTCTCAATGGTGAGTGACTTTCTATAAAATTTAAGGGAATTTAGACCACGGTGAACTCTCTTAACAATGTCGGAGATGTGGAGTTTCCATTGAAGAGTCGAGGTGATAGTAAGTCCAAGGCTTTTGACAGATGATGAGAATGGTATCTCAACACCATCAACCTTGAGCCTGGACAATAAGTTTAGGTCAATAGCGAGGACGTGAAGTTCGCTACCAACGATCATGACCTTTGTTTTGGCGACGTTGAGTTGGAGACCGTTCGGTCGCGCCTAATCCGCCACCGCCTGTGCATCCAATTGGACCTTCTCAAGCCCCTTAACAATCTGGGAAGGGACGCAGTGATGGTAAATCTGGGTATCATCAGCATAAATTAGGTGCTTGCAGAAAGAAAGTACTCGTGGGAGGTCATTAATGAAGATGGCAAAGAGTAGCGGACCAAGGACGCTTTCCTGCGGGACACCCGTCCGGGCACGCTCCCACCGCGAAACAGTGTCCCCATGGTCAATGACAGCTTGCACCCTGTCGACAAGGTAGCTGAAGAACCATCGTAGGACGGAGTCACCAACGTGACAAGCTCTGATCTTATCAATAAGAAAGTCATGAGGAATTCCATCGAAAGCCTTTGAAAAATCGAAAAGGACAAGGATGGTAATTTGCCTCCTATCAATGGCAAACCTCATGTCGTCAAGGACGCCCACTAAAGCGGTCTCAGTAGAGTGTCCCCTACGGAAGCCAGCCTGCCTGGGATCCAGAAGGTCATTAGCTTCTAAGTCAGTGCAATATTCGTTCAAGGATTTTTGACGGTTCAGACAACTGCGCGACGGGCCTAGTATCAGAAGGAGACTGGGGTGATGTGACCTTAGAAAGAGGACGAATAAGGGTGCGCTTCCACGTGGCTAGGAAAGTAGATGTTTCAATGGACTTGTTATATATTTCAGTAAGGATGCAGGCTACGGTGTCAAGTCCAAGGAGAAGCATCCCTCCCGTAAGTCCATCACAACTCCCGCCCCTAGAACGCAACGCCCTGATCTCGCTCTCAACATCAGATTGTTTAATTTTTTAAAAGACAAAAGGAGGAAAAGTAAAGGTGATATGCAAGGGGGAACTGCAGATATTGTCAAATGTAGTAAGGTTTAGGACTGGAGATCTGTTGACAACTGTTGCAAAGTGTTTATTGAGTTCGTCAGCTGAGAAAAAGAGCAGTGGTGAAGGCAAAAGCCGATTGGTTAAGCCGATATCATGGAGAGTCCTTCACTTGGATTTTGAGCTATTGGCATGTTCAATGTTATTACGGATGTGGGTATTTTTCTCAGTATCAAGCTCGTTTGAAATGGCAGTTCTTAGGGAACGATATTGTTCAAGGGCCAAGGATGAGTTGGAGGCTCGAAAGCGTTTGTAGGCTGCGTCACGGATCCGCATTGGAAAAATTAATAAATTTGTACTAGATAATTTCTGAATAGCTCCTTATACTCATGAAGTACGAAGATATAAGATTTAAAGCATCACGTCATTGGTTACAGAACTTTAAAAAATCTTACAATAAAATCAATAGGAAGATAAACAAATTCATAATAAAAAAGACTAAAAGGAAGAGAATATTTACAAAAAGCTGCTGATGATTCAAACTAAAAGAAATAATTAAAAATAAAGGTTTGGAATCTATTTATAATTCAGATCAGAGTGAGTTAAAATTAAAATTCACTCGAGAAGAACAGTAACTCTTGAAGGGGGAAAAAATTGAATGTCTCGTAGAATCTATAATAGTTACACAATTCAGCCATTCATTGCGGTGATGGAAGACTGCTTTAGCTATCATTATTTTAAAAGAAAGTAAAGAAACATTCGGACCAGTCGGAGAGTCTAAATTATTTAAATTAGATATATATATTTTGGTTTAGACCTTTGGCAAATTAACTTCAATTATGATATTTATTGTTATTTCTTATAGCTTTCAATTTATGTTCTATGAATAAAAATAAATATTATAACGGTTACAGAAAATTTTTGAAAAATGGTTAAAGGGTGTCTATTTTCCTAATGGCAATAATTTCAATATCTTATTAATTGAATCTTAGAATGAGCATTGCCTTAACCCATTAACGACCAAAATGCTCAATTTTTTTGTCGAACGCGTTTTTTTCGGTAGTGATAGGCCTGAGAAACTTTTGCAAACAAGTATTTGGATGGAAAATTTAACGCTCTTTCAGAATCTTTTCAAAATTGCGATTGATTGCGTTATAAAAAAGTTATAGCAATTAAATAATAAAAACCTGAAAAATTTTGCGATAAATCAAGTTTGCGATTTTTTTAGCAATGTTACCGCTAAAAAATCATCAAACAAATATGATCAGAGGTGATCGCGACTATCAAAGTATCTCCAGGAATTTTTGAACCACTTCTTCCAACAAAATGG